TTCTTGAAGGCCTGGAAGGGCCAGATCCCATAGCTGCCAAGCAAAGAGCATATGAGATGCATTTATGCAATGAAAAGAGAAGGTTCTTCATCCTGAGCACAGTGAACAGCTTAAATAGCCAGTTCCTGCCACCCAGAGAATGCTGGAATTATGGACCAGCAGCAGCAGACCTGCTGAGGATCCTCTCTTCCTGCAATAAATGCAGAATCACTTGGCGCACAAGATAATTTGGGGTACATTTTGACAGAAGGCAAGGGGTGAGAGGAGCTGTCACCCATCCAGGGCAAACACGGCATACCTGGGCACCTCAGGTCTTTATTCAGGGGCCTCATTTAGTTCTCCAGATCAGAGATCTGTGACTCAGGTGACTGAAGAAAGATCTCAGAGGGATCAAATTCTCCAGCTGAGGCCTTGCCCTTGCGTTTGTCTTTGCAAAGACCTACTGCGATGCTCAGGTGGTAGAGCCATGGCAGCACAGCAGCCGAGCAGGGACATAAATTATAACAGCAAAATGAAGTTTTTGCCTGTGTAGCTCACTACGGCTCCCCTGAGTAACATAAGCAAAAGGGCTATTTTCCCAGCATAACTACTTAAGTGGGAGCTTCTGCTGGCACAAGCACACAGGCAGACATAGACATCACGCAAGACATCACCCACTGCCCTGCTCCCAGCTTGCAGGGCCCAGGGATGCCCTGTCCCCTTTGCAGCCAGCCAGAGCTTGCTGCAGTTAAAACCACGGAAGTGACTTCTCCTTTTGGATCTGCTGAGAAAAGCAAAAAGAAGTTCCTCTTCATTTCTCTCCCCACTTCAGCCCAGCTTCCTCATTGCCTTCCAGCCAGCAAGGGGAGGGCATGGGGGAGCCCTGCAGACCCTCTTTATCAGCTCTTTCCTCTGCCTTGAATGTAGCACAGGAAGACCAAGGACGAGTTTTATAACACCAGTTCATGTACTTGGGCACTTCATAGCGAGGGTGATGGCCCCAGCCCCTCCCCGGTGGCAGGCATAGGGTTCTCCTCCTCCCTGGTCACCCTGGGGGACCAGCCTCTACTTACAGGACCAGGAGGCTAAGGAAAACGGTGAGGAGCAGCCAAGTGACAAAAGAAAAGTTTGGCAAGAGATCCATCGTGTCTCGCAGCCTGCCCTGAGAGCATCCGTCTCCCGCGAAGCCACAGCCTTTGTTTATAAGTTTTATTTCCTGGCTTTTACTCACAGTCATTCCCATGTGACGTCGATGATGACTGCTCGGTTACTCAAACTTTAACCCTTGGGCGGGTTTCTTCCTGGATTGGGATGTCAATAAAATGCCCCGCCCCACACCTCTTGAGATTTCAAACTGCTGAAAGGACTGTTTTTACAAGAAGAAAAGATAGCAAAGGACATCAGCTTCCTTAACCCCTTCCTTCTGGCTCTCGCCTGAAAGCCGTCAGGTTCACGTGGAGCTGAGGGGAGCCCCCGGCTGCTCCTGCTACAGTGGCGATGCTGAGCCAGACTTGCTCCTGTCCCTTACCCTGCCCAGTCGTGCTTTTGCTGGCTTCTTCGCTTTTACCTAGGGGTATGACCAGGAGAGCCAAGGAACAGCTACTGGCCCCCACCTGCCCCCTTGAGGGTTTCTGGCTGTGCAGATCACCACATACCTTCCCTTGTGCCTTCCCCTCCCATCCCCACTTACCTTGTGCTCCCACACCTCCTATTTAGGGACCAGGAGGGAAGAGGCCAGAGGAGACAGACCTGCTGGGAAACACTTGCCCAGGGCTGAAGTGGGTCCATTGTCTTCAGGCAGAGGCCTCTGGACCTCAGACTCGATGGGGAACACAACCTGTGTGCATACCTGAGCCGATGGGAGTTCTGCCTGATGTTCCACTGCATGGCTCAGTGGCTTTGCTGACTTGCCTGCCCGTGGCTCAAGACCCAGGAAGACACCAGGTCATGGGCACCCATGCAGGAGGTGGCTGAGGATCAAGCAATCCACCGGCACAGTGAGCACCATGCTTGCAAGGAGGTCAGCCAGCTCCAACGCTCCCGGGCTGTGGCATTTTGGGATAGGTTTCCACTTCACTTCTGCCCCGACTTTCTTTGCTCTCAGGCATAAGGTTGCACAACATGACTTTTGTTGTTTGGCTTTAGGCAGCTCAATGTCTCCCTCAGACACACCCAGAGAACTGGCTGCTTTCTACCAGAGAAACAGAGAAAATGCACTGCGCACACGGGCAGACTGCGGTGTGGAGCCTCTGGCCAACTTACCTGCAATGTATGCAAACTCCTCGTGCTGGTGGGTGGCTGTGGGGATGGGTCAGGACATGGTCTCCTTCGCCCCCATCACACAGGGAAGGACCATGCATCTCCTCTTCTGGGCAGTAGAGCCCCGTGCCGTTCCCCATGTCCCCTGCACCCTAGCCAAGGAGCCCATGTGCATCATGCTCCCCTGCACCAGGCATCGCTTTTCTGCCTTGGGCACATTCAGCCTTGAAGAAACCCAAGTGCTTCGGCAATTATCTAGCTGCCAGCACAGGCAGATCATGTGTGGCCATGCCTGCAAGCCAGTGGTGGTTTTTCCCGCTGCCCAAAGATTTATTTTGCCTCATAAAACACAAGCAGTGGGTGCTGAGACGCTGGTGGGTCCCATGGTGATCTCAACACCTATGCAGAAGAGTTGAGCGGCCGGACGACATCTCAGCCACCCCCTGCTTTGCACGGCTGCGATGTGCTTCATAATTCTTGTAATCAGCGGCTGACAGGAATCAGCCTGATTCCTGCTTCCCCAGGCTGCACTGAAGAGCTGAACCCCAGCAGCGTGCTGCAGCAGAGGGCTGCAGCAGAAACCTTATTCTCCATTTTATGGGGTCTCCCACTTACAAGACACCTTGAAGCAACCACACCCTGACAGTTATCCTTTATCATTGCATCCAAAGGCCAGTTCTCCCCCTCACGGAGTCCCATACCAGAAGGACATCAAGGACTGAGATGAGAGGTGGGAGGAGAAACCAGGCGCCAGGGAAGGAACTCCCCAGCCGGGATTAGCTGCATTTCTTCCCTCGCACAAACCCTTTGATTTTCCAATAACCTCTGCTAACAGCTGTTGCGGTTTCTCAGTGGGAAGCAGGTTTGCGGATCACTATTTTCTCCTCTCAGACAGAAACTGAGGCAAAGGCAGACTTCAGAGGAGAACACGGATGTTAGCTACCCCCCAAAAAAAGTAAATAAAGTGTGCAGCAACTTCACACACAAGGAAATTGCTTTTGTCCAAAACAGGTTTGAGTGGGAGCAATCTGCTGATCTAGAGGCAACACTCTAAGCAGAAGACAAGATGTAGGCTATGCACATGCCTGGTGAACTACTGCAAACTCCTTATCTACTAATAAGAAAACCTGAGGACCCTGAGGAAGCTTGTGGGATCCTGTGCACCGTGCTATAAAAAGACTATATAGTCTTATACCGGAGAGGAGGAGCGAGTCACTGTGACCCCTGCTTCCAACATGGCAGAGTCTACTGCAGTGATCCTGGACACAGCCGAAGGCACGGCCCCCCATGCCTCCCACGCTTGTCTGCCGGCCACCACGTGGTCCATCGCCCTGCGCTGGCTGCTGGCATGTTTGTTCCTGCCACACCACCCTGGCAACAATCCTGGTTCAACATTAACTCGTACACTATCTACCGCTCCTTATCGCAGGAGTAGCAAGGTGCTTGGCTTTCATGCATCAGATAATTTCCCTGTGTTTGTGTTACTGTCACCCTGGAGTACAGCACCCGTCCGCTGCGGTCAGCACCCTGCAGTCCTCTCCTCCATGCCCAGAGGTGACAGGTGGCCAAGCAAAATAGGTATGTGGAGCTTCAAAAGCCGATGGTCACCATGGTTAATACAAACAGAAGGGGATTTGAACTGTGATATCTGGTCATAGTCACTGGTAGTGTCATAGCTGTAAAAATGGGACAACACATCTTAGAGCAACCAGGGAAGCAACGCCTGAATTGATGGGGTATAGAAGATGATACTAAACCTCACACAGAACTTCAGAGGAGCAGGGCTGAGAAACCAAAACCCATTCTGTTTGTAAAAACTCCTCGAGAGGCAGAGGTACAAAAGCTATTAAACCACAGAGTCCTCCTGGGAGGAGAGGTGATTTTACCTGGTTGGCAGGACTGAAAGAGGCCAAGGAGGAAGAAGTCCTGCGTAGACACAGACCACCAGGTAGAAGATGACCCGCAGGAGACACGTGCTCTGCTGCATCTCAGGATTTTTCTTTAGCGGCTATGTTGTAGACCTAGAAGTTTTCCTTTCCTCTACATGCTATGGAAAAAACCACATTATAACACACAACAGTCTTCTAAAGGACATAGCAAAACGTCAGCCTTGTTCAAAAACAGGCTTTTATCCACTGATTGTCCCATCTTTAACAATTCTCCTCTCATGCTCCTCTTGTCCCACAAATGGGATCACGAGCTGTTTATTTCTGGCTCTTCCTTACAAACCTTGCTCTCAAACGAGCCTCTTGAAAAGACTAAATGGGGAAGCACCAGATGTACGACTTCCTCGAAGAGCTCCAGCAGCCGGGGAACAACCAAGGACTGGCACCAGTTTCTGCCTCCCTTCTCGCCAAGCCCAGAACCCCGCAGTGCTTCATGCCTGGGTATTTCTGGGACCTCTGCAGAGCAAAAACACCACGTTGCTCCTTTCATCCAGTAACGCTGCTGAATGCTCCCGAAGCATCGACAGCTGAAACCCATCTCCCTTTCACTCCCCTATAATTTCTGAGCAAGGACAGAAAATTATAAGCCGCAGCCAGTGTTACAGCATAAAACCAATTACAGAAAGCACAGAGAGGGCAGCGCTGTGTGCTCTCCCCGTGCTCCCAGACACCAGCTCCTCCAAGGACAGCCTCTCCTTTGCCTGTCTCACTTTCTACCAGAGAAGAACTCCTCTGTCTTTTCAGATCTCCCAGCTGGTAGCTTGGCCTCACTTGATGCAGCAGCCAGCGCTTTCCAGAAGGTGAAGAGGTGAAGTGGCGTTGCCACATTTGCAATGACCTCAATTTGTGCCAAGCCACTTCCAAACCAGAAGTCAAGCCAGAAAAAAATCAGAAATCGTGACACGGCCCTGAAGACATCAGCTTCAAATATGCGCCACACAGCCCTTCCTGTCACAAACCCTTACCCCCTATCTCATGAGGACACATGTTAAAAACAGCCTGGTGGGCGTAATGCATTGTAGAGCCAAAATCTCTGCTGGGCCAGACCCAGCGACGCTGAGAGCGGCATCGCTGCCCGAGGGCAGAGTTTGGCCCATCGCTTACATCTCCGGTGCCTGGGCTGTGGTTGTTTTTTCCGGGGCACATCGCGCTCAAGGACTCAGGGCAGGGATGAAGCTGTTTGGCTCATGATTCACTCAGCATCGTGGGCTCCCTATCAGCAGTGCTGGATGCGAGCCATCCTGAGCATGCCCAGGCACAATCCCTCCGAGAAACCCAGCAGGTACGGCTGGAGGCTTCTCACTCAACCTCACTGGGAGGATTTTCTATAGCAACTAAAGCCAGGCATTTGGCTGGCTGCATTAACCCTTGCTTGCTTCATAAAATGGGCTTTGTGAAAAACAGGCATCATTTTCTCACCTCTTTAATTTCTTCTGTGGTGCAGAGACAGCTACGGATCAATGCAAGTGTCTTCATCAATCACCCTGGATGGTTTTTGCTGGATGAAGGATTGAAATGCTGCATCCTTCCTCTGCCAGTCCTTTCCATGGTGGGGGGTAAAACATTTCCTCATTTCCATCAGGTTACGTGAGGTTTAATCCCAGAGGCTACAGTCTCTTAAATCAATCTGGAAATTTGCCCTGCTTCATCCCAAAGTTCCCGTAGTTCAGCTTCTCTGATGACTCCTAATTGCTTCTCCTTTGCCCCCCACCTCTGGGCTGTTTATACCAATCAGATGCACTTGTGCATAAATAAAAAATAAGCCCAAAGTAAAAAAAAAAAAGTTTGTATTTACAAGTTGAGTCTTGTACTCTTGGAATTAATCTCTAATTAGGTCAGTCATGTTCCCCTGGTAGGGTATGAATGATAGTGCTGGAAAACAGACAATTTATAGAGACCCAAAAATAACTCATCCGGCTGTTTTGTAAGAAAGATGTGT